TGCTGAACCAGGCTTCCTTGCACTGTTGACAGGATTTCCGGATGTTTTAGGTGCAGGAACCTTGAAGGCTGAAGCAGCTGATGATGGCCTATTTCCATCCACTGATTCTTCATCATCGAAGCTTTTATCTGCACAAAGCATTACAAAAATATATGTAAGAGAACCAAGCTTTGCTCCTTTTTCCAAAACAAGTAAATCCATATATATGATCATTATTTTGCTACTATACGTAATACAAGATAAAGGGCTTAAGAATAAGCATTTATATATTGGCTAATACTATATTAAAAAAACCTCTGTGTTTAAAATCAAAATGCAATATTGTCATATTTCCTACCTGCATATAGTAAGTCAAAACATAAAACCAAACATATTAACTTTAAGGGTGATAAAAAAGCATTTTACATTTTTTCTTGCAACTCATACAAGCATTTTCTGCCAGCTCCTCCCATAGTGTATCTTCCAGCACACCCTGTCTTATTCCTTATACCCAGATTCTGCAACTTACAATCACAGATCCGTTTGCAAATCAGTCGCCTCATTCCTCTGAAAGCTCTTAATTTCCCTCACCCTAGGACGCTCCCAATAGTTCACATGGCCAAATACAGTAAATTCAATGCTAATCAAAGATTCTATCAAAAATAGACAGAAAAAAACACAGAACCACCACTGAGGTTTGTGCCGGCATTTTTCTTTCTCTTCCCTGCCCTAGGTGCTATAACAGCCAATCAGCTACAAGGTGACATCATCTTATGGCAGCTACTGCCAGATGAAAGGTAAAAATTCTCCATGCATCTAAGAAAAATTCTCCATGTAACTATAATCTTTATTTTATATCAAAATGTCAAAGGTATTCAATACTGAAGGTTTACATCTAAATTTGCTTTCTCTTATTTAATTAACATGAAGATGTATATAAATAGAAAATAAGGTTGCATGCAGTGTTCCTTCTGCTGCTGTGCTTATTGCATCAGTTTAGCATGGAATATCACACTGCTCATAGCTGCGCATAATTAACTCTGTAATTCTACAATTTGCTATTTAGGCTACAGAAGCTGAACTGAACAATGTGTTCTTAAAAATTATTCTGTAATATTCTACAAGACTTCTTTTAGCTTACGAGTGACCATACCAGTATGTATTATCTCCTAATATAAAAATGACACACCCTCAACCCTTAAAAAAAGGAAAAAGCCACACAGGATATGTATTCTTTTACTCTTTGGAGAAGACGGTTTTCTCTAGGACCCTGCACAAAGCAAGCAGGACAAACAAGATGGGCGAGGCAGAGAAGCAGCTTCACCACAGGCTTCCAATCAACATATGCAGAACCTTTTCCTTCCAGTTTGCTCCCTTTACCTATGCAAATACCCATCTACCCGGAATGAAATCACCCCGGACAGTGATGCTGTCAGCAGAACTATTAGGCATATTTTAAAGAAAATGTACTAAGAAGGTTTTAAGACAGTTTTGTTTATGAGGGAAAAAATAAAGAATTAAATAAATACCTTAATATAAAGCCACATTCCATTTCACCAAGTATTTTTCTTAAAGACAACTTGTAAGAACAAAGTATCTTTCAGTTAAATTTTTTTTCGTTTTAGCCTAACACTACTAGGGAGACAGTTTGTATTAATTAATGCTCTTAAAACCTATGCTATACACATACTGCACTCTTAAAAACACAAACACAATTCCAAGTCAACTTTTTTGTCATTACTGTGAAAAAAGAATAATAATGCAGCTAAAAGAGACAGAGTAGAAATACAAATCTATAGAAAGTTAGACACTGAAATACAGAGTAGCCAGAAGTTTCCATGGAAACGGTGTTCTGTTTCTACACACACTCAGGAATTGAAAAGGAGTAAATGTCCCTACAATTTAAAACAATTAACTCTTAACATTCTCAAACTACAGGAAAACTAATTTTTAACCTTTTATCAAAATAGAACAAAATACACCAATCATAACTACACAGCAAAATGAATTTTCACAAAATTAACATGCCAGTGTAACTAGCATCTAGATCAATAATCACTAGCAGCCTGTAAAGACCTGCAAAACATCTCAAGATAACCATTTCCTACCAAAGCTAAATAATCTTGAATTTCACACTACAGTTGTTTTTGCACATTTTTGAATAAAAGAAATGATACAGTAGGTATTCTGGGATCTAGCTTCTTTTCACACGATGTTGGAAGATTATGTTTGGAAGATTCGCTTTCACTGCTTAGTTTTCTAGTATATGAAAATAGTACAATTTATTAATACCTATGTATCTTCGTCCGTTTTTGTGTTGCTAACAGAAATACCTGAGACTGGAAAGTTAACACACACAGTAGTTTATTAACTCACAATTCTGGCAGCTGCAAAGTCGGAAGGTACAGGCCTGCTATCATGGCCTAGAATGCGGCCCGAGAAAGCACAAAGAATAGCAAGAATAGCAGGTGCAAGTAGAGAGACAGACAGACAGACAGCTGCTGGCAGCTCTTTTTTTTTTTTTTTTTTGGGGGGTGTTTCGTCGCTCGCCAGACAGACAGACAGAGAGAGACATAGAGACAGACGGCGAGAAGTCACCCTCCAGGGGGGATGGTCACGCTGCAATCCCTTCTCCTCCATTCTCTTGGGATCTTGGGCACGCATGCACACGCGCCAGGCGTGAGTTTTAAGTCACTGGGTCCAGGACGCAAACCGCGGTCGACTACATGGGAGTCCAGCGACATAGCCATTACGCTAACTGCTGGTTCCCTGGCAGCTCTTTTATAGCAACCAGCTCTCACAAAAACTACCCCTTCAACCGAACCCACTAGGTCGCTGGAGACATTCATCTGTTCAGAAAGTGTTTTGTCCATGATGCAATTGCCAAGATCCAACTGCCCACTGGTCTTTGCCACCTCCTAATCTCAAATTCCAGAACATGAAACTTTGGGGGACAAACCATCACTCAAACAATAACACCATCCTACTGTTGTTTTTTATTGCTAGTGAGTGTGTGCACTCAGAGGTGAGAAAGAGGACAATAGGGCAGTCAAGCCAGTCCTTTTTACTGCATTTACCCAACCCATCAGGATTTTGGACATTGATACACGCACAAGTGCTTGGTGTGTTTTTCAAGCCGCTGGGCCAGGATTTAAACTCCGGATGGCCACGTGGAATCCAGCTTTCTATACATTGTATTTAGCTACTGCCCTAATAGGGCCACCCCACACCATTTTACTATTGATAGACATCTAGGCTGTTGCCAGTTTGAGGTTATTATAAAATAGCGATCCTACAAAGAAAGCAGTAAAGGGTTCTAAGAATTGTAGCACTATTGGGAAAGCAGAAAACATAGTAACTCATTGCGAATTCTAATTTTAAGTCAAAGGTACACATTGTAGCATTTTAAGTCAAAGATACTATTGCAGTATTTAGGGCGGTGGTCCTCAAAATGGCATCTCCACAGAAGCAACTGACCATTACACCTAGAAATCCGCTAAAAATGCTAATTCTTAGGCCCGGATCTAAATCCACAGAGTAAGAATCTCTGAAGATGCTGCCTAGTAATTTCTATACTAACACGTTCTCCTAGTGATCCTAATACATGTTCAGGTTTAAGAAAGAGGTTGGTGACTTACTACAAAGGACCATACAGCAAATATGGTTGGCGTGGCAAATCACACAGATACGGTCTCTCTGCACAACTTTTGCATTGGGACACTGCAGCACCAAAGCCTTGACAAATGACCAATAAACAAATAGGTGTGGCTATTTCAATAAAACTGTATTACACAAAACAGGGGGGCAGCTGGATTTGGTCTGCCAGCAACAGCTTGCCAATCCTGCCGTAGGGTAACCACTGAAAAATGCATAATGTACATGTAAAAAGGCTAATAGGAAAATAATTTTAAAAATTGATTAACTGAAAAAAAGAAAGGCGAAGAAAAACAACTGGATAAAATACATAAAACTCAAATGGTAACTATAAAACCAAACATATCAGTAATTACCTAGTATAAATGAATTAAAAACAAGTAGAGTATTCTTCATTCAAAATGCTTGGGGGCAGAAGTACTTTGAATTTTAGGATGTTTTTGTTTTGTTTGTGGATATCTTTATATATACATTGAGATGTCTCATCCCCCCCAAAAGATTTTCTTTGGGGAGAAGGGACTTTTGCCATTGGGTGTGTGCTTGAGAGAAACTGAGAGGAAAAGTGAGAAATCACCCCACGGTGGGGAGTGGGGGTATGGGGGGCAGGAGGCCACACATCAATCCCTGCTCCTCCATTCTCCTCTCAGGATTTGGGGCAAGCATGGACATGCACCTGCCATGATTTTTCAAGCTGCCAGGTCCAGGGCTGGAACCTCAGTCGTCCATGTAGAAGTCCAGCACCTAACCACCTATCACCTCTGGCTCCCGCAGTGAGATATCCTGAGCATGGAGCCCAAGTCCAAAACCCAAACTTCATTTATGTTTCCTATATGGCTTATACACATACCCTGAATATAATTTTATATAATATTTTTGTACTGCAGTATCTTGACACACGTAAGGGCTGGTGTGATATGTTCCACTTGTGGTGTCGTATCAGCACTCAAAAAGGTAATGATTTTGGAGCATTTTGGAAGTCAGATTAGGGATGCTCAACCTGTTTTCTAAGTAAAAATCCAAGACCAAACTTTTAAAAATAGGCTCATGTGCTCCCCAAAGAATGATAGAGGGAGACAGAGAAAGCACCCCCCAATGGGGTGTGATACATCACAACCCCTTTTCCACTTCTCCATCCTGTTATCAGGATCTAAGAGGCACACACACACACACACACACACACACACACACACGCATCTCATGTTTTTCAAGGGTCAGGGGCCAGGATTTAAACTGTGCAGTTGGCCATGTGGGATCAAGCTCCCATAACCACTAGGTCATTGGGCCAGTCCAAATAAGCTGGTTAAATGAGATACAGTTGTACTAACTTCAAACGAAGTAGTTCAAAGAAATGTTATTAGAAATAGAGAGATCTATTCAAGATAAAGATGTGAATCCAAGAGGCAAAAACTAGTACACTAAATATTTATGGACCCACTAACATTGATTTAAATAGATAAAAGGAAAACCAAGAAAACCTACCAACATAAGAAGAAAC